CGTTTGGCTCTTAACTTGCCAAATTCACCAACGGTTACGGTCTCCTCTTTGCCGAACTCATGGAACATTCCAGACTCTTCAGTTTGTGCTTTGTCAGCCATCACTTGCTGAACTAAGGAAGTGGAATCGCTCTTCTGAAGACTGAAGCTTGTTTGAGTTCTGTCCACACTCAACTGACGCTCTGCTGAATCTTGGGAATCCAAGGGAAGTTGTAGCTCTTTTCCCTGTGATGGACGTCTCACAGTCAGGTCCAGAGTCGTGCCGATGTCTTCTAATGTAACAGCTTTGGCGAGGAGTTGTGAAGATTGCTGGTCCGTATCCTTCCAGCAGATCAAAGCCGTCTGATCGGTTTCGATGATGTCCCACTGCGTTGTAAGGCCTTGAGCTTCACTAACGAACTCCTTATATGACTGGGAAGATACTTCTTCGTGGCGGGAGTCGCGGAAGTGACCCTGAGCGTAGAGTTCACTCTGACTTTGGCTAAGCTGCTTTTCCAAGATGGACTTCTCTTCCGTCACAGCTCGCAGGTTCTCGACGCTTTTGGCTCTCTGTAGCTCGGCCACTTCCTTTTGAACTTGGATATGTTCGGTCTGGGCGGTGAGAGTGGTTGTCAGCGCTGCAGCGTCCTCCTGAACGGCCTGCATCTTCTTCTCCAAAACCAGTGTCCTAGCCAACTTCTGGGTAACCTCCTGCTGTTCGACTTGGCTCTTCGGGGCTTCAATTCTTGCCAAGGACAGGGTGTGCATCTGGCGTTCACTGCCATACTCCCTGGCTTCGCCTCGTTGCTGTTCCTGCTGGTGGTACGTCTTCTCACCTACAACAGCAGCAGTTTGCGATGGTTGTTCTAGCACTACGAGCTGCTGCTCTTCGCTAATCTCTAGATGTCGCAATTCGCTCGCTTCTACTCTATCGCCTACGGTCTTTGAGGTGTCGCCGGTGGGTTTTATACTAAATTCGCAGGTCGCTTCGGCAACAACCTCGGCAGCAGCTACTACGTCTTTAATCGTTCGTTCTATTTCCATCGCACGGCTTTTCAGGGTCGTCTGTGCTTCTACTTCGCTTTCGGTGGTTCTAATTATGGCAGCGGCAGCCTCATCTTTGGTTTCTTGTAATTTTAGCGTATCTTCTACCTTTGCTACGTTTACAAGCAACTTGCTATCAGCCTCTGTTTGTTCTTCTTTTGCCTTATCTACTCCTAGCTCTACTCTATGTTCTTCGGTAGCCTTCATTTCAGCCATTTCAGCTGTTTCTTGTTTTTGTTTAGTTATATATTGTAGAGATTGAATGTCCTCTGCCCTTGCAAGCATTGCACTTTGATCAGCAAACTCTTCCTGTGCAGCGATCATACTTTCGCCAACACGAATTGTGCTAG